AAGCACTGCAAAGAAAAATTATGAGACTAGCTCTACCAGACATTAAAATATACTGTAAAGTTTCTGTAATTAAAACTGTGTAGTACTGTGCACAAGTAGAGAAATAGACTGATGGAAAAGAACGGAAAGCCCAGAAACAGTCCCAACTACATATGGATCCTGGATTGAATCCTTAACTGGAAAAATGACATTACTGAGGAAACTGGTAAATTTCAAATAAAGTATGTAGTTAACAGGACTGAGTCAATGTTGACTTCCTGGTTTCAGTAACTGTACATGGCTATGTAAGTTAACATTATGGGGCAAATCTCTGTACTATTTTTGCAACTTTCATGTAAGCCTGAAATTATTTCAAAGTAAAAGATTTTTTTACACGGTTGTGAATCCCCTTAAATAAAAGCTTGAAAGACAAAAATAAAAAATAAAAAAATAAAAATAAAAGGTTGTGAATCAAGAGCTCCCAAGAATATGGAGGAGGCTCTGAATCACACTGAGGTGAAGCACTAGAAAAAGGGCCATAAGTCACCAGTGTTGGCCCAAAATACTTAATTGGTTCAGTTCTACATAGTTTCAAAGGATTTAGTTAACTTTATTTACTTAGAGCATGATATTAATGAGGCCAAAGTCATGGGGTCAGAGATTAGTGTGGACCAGCTGGTTTTATCCTGTGGACACTTTCTGCAGCCTTGAAATAGCAAAGATTGCAAAAGTCCCCAACATAAAAGGCGTGAATGGATCAACACAAATTTATTGTCACACTGAAACAGCAGAGTGCTGTAACAGCTCTCCAAATCAACAAGCAAGCCAGTGTACACAGGGTCCTTCACTTTGCTCCTGCCTACCTCTCCCTGCTCCTCTAAATCCTTTATGTCAGCCTTAGCAAAATACTTACATTGCCCTGAACTGTGCTTTATGCTAGATGGCCTCATCCTCTCTGCTTAACTCCTGCTCAACCTTCATGACTTGGTTCACTACTTTTTTAATCCTCTCCCTGCCTAATATGAGTCAGAATGCCTTCCTTCTTACCAAAATACCCTGATATTCTTATCTCAAAACCTATCACTCTATGTTGTAACATTTGCTTTCCTTGTCTCTTCCTCAGAAGACCATGAACTTCAGGACAGG